GTTGCAAAAAATGAATACTGGGAAAATTATCACTAGAAAAAAAATATCTCCCTGATAATGAATCCCATAATATATATTTAATTACTCATATCCTTTATTAAACACATTATCATAATTATTAAATGCAATCTTTATTTATTACAAAACATTCGTCGACAATACACTTTCTTTACAATAATACTTTACTTTTCTATACAAAAATACCATATTGAACGATTATATTACTTATGTGAGTTAATAAACAACAACATTGTTTAGTTCATGCATAATAACTTAGATAAAGTGTAATAAAACATTGCATAGTGATATTAATTATGTTACATAATTCCTTTGCAGCTTTCAGTTTGTAGAGTCATTCGGTTATTTTTGAAGTAAGAAACATGAAAAATGTGCAATGCCCTAGCCAGGACTTGAACCTGGGCCTCTCAAATACGCGCCGAGTGTGCGAACCATTACAGCACGAAGGTATAAAGAAAGGAGGGGAAAATACCTTATGTACTCTCCCTTTTAAAGAGCGACTGGGGATTAGGGTACCCAATCGCCATATCAGGATGGTGAAGAATCATCATGCATCACCTTTTTTAGTTCGAGTGCCACTGAAGAGTCATTAGGTAGGTTATTTTTGAAATAAGAAACATGAAAAATGTGCAATGCCCTAGCCAGGACTCGAACCTGGACCTCTCGAATACACGCCCAATGTGCTAACGATTACACCACGAAGGCCTAAAGAAAGGAGTGAGAAAATACCTTATAAGTTATAAAAGCAATGTTTTAATCCTATTTCACATCAAGTTTAGTGTTTCAGTGGCAGAAAAGTAAGAATTTATAAACTCAGTCAATTAATAATAAATTTCTATTTCTAAGCTGCATGAATTTCTAAGTTCTGCAAGAATACCATTAAAAATGCAATCCTTAAAAAGAAGAGTGTATTATTTTGGAGCTGATATAGTTTGCATTGAGATTCAAACAACTGTCCTTAAATAATCCAAATCTTTGTTTTCGTTAAATAAGTCATATTTAATACCTATCCTCTTTCAAATCAGCAATCCACGTATAATTTTAAAAATGCTTTCCTTTACACTGAATTTTAGACATTTAGTCACAAAGTTAGTGAATATTTAAATTTGTTTAAAAATTCTTTTCTATAAATTTTTCAACTATAAACAAACAAATTAAAAATAATTTTCCAGAAAACACCATTCCTTCGGAAAAAGATTCGAATTTGAGCATAAGAGAAGCCTAAAGTTTGAAATATACCTTATTTTTCACTATCAGTTTCTTTAAAAAGCAGTTTTAAAAGTCACATCATATTCCGTTGATTAAACTTGCAGAAATCATAAAACACCATTTTTTTATAATAATTATTCGAATATTATGCTAAACATCTTAAAAATATAAAAAGGAATATATCTATAAGGAATTATAGAACTGTTAAAAGATAATTATTATTTGCATGCAAATAAAAAATATAGAAAAAGATTAATGTTTTAAAGATTTTTAATTTATGCTAAAAAAATCGGAAAATAATGTAACATTCAAGAGAACTAATAAATAATGCTATTTAAATGTAACAGTGTCACAGAAGGAATGAAACATGTACCAGTTAATACAGATTTTATTAATAAATTATAATGCAATTTAATCGATCTGCAATGAAATCAGTGACTTCGAAATCTGGGTAACTTGGTTATAAAATGCATAAAAATTAAAAATGAAAACAGGCAAATTTTAAAAGCAATTTATTCGAAAATGAGATGTTTGTATGAAAGAATATCCTTTTAGTTCTGATACCGTTTACTCATGAAATGTTGATGAGTATTTGGTGGACAATTACCCTAGAGCACTCCCAGGGTCCGTCAGAGAGAAGCTATTCATTCGCAAAGTTCTTGACAGTTCGCATCTACTAATGTTTACAGTGCAATCAATCTCTTTTAGGCGGAACAATTGATCTAAAATTCTGGGAGGGATGGGAAATAACAAAAGAACTGCTTGACAATTTTCAGAGGTTTAGGGTTATTTTCGCGACATTTTATGGGAAGTTCGGTCAAAAACTAGCGACAGTTTTAAAGGGATTCGCAGAAAATTACTCGACAGGCTAAGGGTTAAAGGGTTAATTGCTTTTTACAAGGAGAATGTTTAGTCGTTTTTGATCTCTAGCGAACATAATCACATTTGGGTCGTTACGGATATCTTGGATATCTCCCACCAAGGATGTGGTAGTTTTAACGTCATTAGATAAAGTAATTTTGTGACTTAATATTTAGAGAACGTGGGGTTCATCACTGAGATGTCTCGTGTGAGGATTTTCTGAGTTGAGATGAATTCTCCCTGTTTGTGTCATTATTAGTTAAATTTGTATTTGTTGTGTCATATTGATTGATCATGTGAGGAAAAAAAAGCCTAACTAGAGGCCGTACCCAAAGGCACCCTTATCAGCACGGTGAATAAAGAGAATCAGAAGGAAGAATAAAATACGACCTGTTTTGGTAAAAGCATAGAATAAGCTGCATCAAAAAATTAAGAAGGCGGAGCTGTGTGACGTCCATAAATAGGTGGGACTAATTTTCTGACTTCATAGTGTTTTATCGCATTTACACACACACACACACAGAGATCGTATTTTATTATGGAGTGTCAAGATGTAGAAACAATTTTTACTCGACTTCTGATAAGAATCTAGAGGAGGAGAAAGAGTGCGTACACTATGCGTATTTACACTATGCGTACTTTCTATTTTCTCTTGAAAATAACAATAATGAATTGTTTATTATTGTAAATTAATATCAAATTCTTTACTTTTAATTTATATTTATAGCATTTAAACTTAGGCTTTACTGAAAATAAGTATAATAAATTTTAATATCAAATTCTTTACTTTCAATTTACATTTATAACAGTTAAGCTTAGGGCTTTACTGAAAATAAGTATAATAAATTGTTTATAATTAAAATTACCATGACACATTGAGCGAATTCCACCAATTACTAAAACGATAAACAACGTCATTGTCTCTCATATTTGTGCTTCATACTGCTTTAATTTTTTCAAAGATTTTTAATCTTTAGCATTTATACAATTAAAAAAGTTATTTTAAATTTAAATTCATATTATGGAACATTTTAATTTTATCATTTTAACAAATTACTTTAGTGCTACGTAAAGACGTTAATTCCTTACATACCAGTAATTAGACAATTTTCATTATTTTCTAAAAAATTTTAAATCACGCCATATTCTCTGTAGGCATACTAAAATTCTACGCATTAATAAATAAAAAAACTAATTTCTCACAATGAAAGAAACCATATAAGAAAATAAATACTACAAATTTTGATCAGTAAGCAATGCTTCACATACGCACACACACACATATTATCAATGAACACATATTATCGAGTGCAATTACGATACCAACAACTACGTATTAAAATAATGAGGTCAGCGTTACTTATAGGGTCAAAGTTGACAGTGTTGCTGCTGTTTAGTAGATCGTCGGACTATCGATATTTATCATAAGTCGGAAAATATTATCAACATATCAAAAACAAACAATTAAAAATACAATTTAAATAACAAAAGATCACATTTTTCTTCAAGCACTCCACCCAACACAAAATTCTTTTTCAAGCATAACTCTATGCACACTTCCCTACAAAAACTTTTCCAATCTGTCACAGTAATTTTAGCGAGTAATTACGATCGTATAAAATCATTCCCGCACTTACCCGACCACATACAGGTAACTCACAAGATACCACACATGCTCAATGCCACACATCGATACTTACATTCGCCTCCAATAACTCTACACAGCCACTCAAAACTATCTATAGAGTTCTTTCGCTCTACTAGTTTCAAATCAGTTTCACAAATGGGGCATTTATACGATCTTGCAAGCAAACGTTTCTCCATACACCACTCAATAACGCCTTTTTTTACCTCTTTGCTCCAACTAATAAAAAAAATCAAGATTCATATAATCATCCATTTCTTTCTTTTCTGTATTTTAAGAAGTTACGGTTATAGTTTTTAAATCATGCATTCAATATTTTCAATCGTTTGATAATGTTTGTTTTCAATCGTTTGGTATCTTAATAATACATTTGTGAGAGATAACTCATTGCGTTAAATGCTAACACTACCTCACAACACACAAAAGTATATTTATAATTAAAAAACTCTCGCGCAGAACATTATAAATTTAACATTTCAATTCAGTTAAAATATAATTTAAGTTTTCTTCAAATAAGAATACTGTTTAGAAGCGCAAGCCAAACTTCTGTTTATGTTACTTCTCGCCCTTCAGCGCATGCTCAAGAATTACCATCCAGGCGAAACAATTCGATTTGTCCATGACGTCAAAAATTCAAAAAGTGGGGTAGGGTTTGGAAATACGCATGGCATACTTATAACTTGTTTTTAAGAAGAGGCGTAACCAATATTACGTCATAAAAAGGCGTGGCCAACATGTACATCGCAATCGTAAACACCTCATCGACTGAAGCAGCCTATTCTGCGTTTTAGCCACTGTTTCATCCAGCGAAAAAAGGTTGCATGCGAGGCGAAAGCGGAAGAAGAAACAACACAGAGCCCGTGAGGAGAGGTCGATGAACTTGGTTCAGCAGCGAGGTGGTAGCAACGTCAAGTCGATTTTTCCATGATGTCAAAAATTCGAAAAGTGGGGTAGGGTTTGAAAATACGCGTCCCAGTTCGGAATGACTGAATTTTAGGGTTTAATTGCGAAGAATGTGATATTTAATAAATAAAGGTTATAGAGAAAATGTTAAAAAAAATAACGCTCCTTCGGACGTCATTTAAATCTGAAACCTTTCAGATTTTTTTTTTTTTTTTTTTTTTGCATATTTTGTTAAGAAGTACTGCACTGCCTAGTATGATCAGTTTTGAAAAACACCAGAACATTTAATTTCTGTCCGAAAGTGCGGTTTGTTAAGCCTGCAGTTTTATACTTTAAAAAGTATCGTATAAAAGTGTTGGCAACACAGGATTTTCTTGTTTTGATATACGGTAATTTAAGTGTATAGTGTTTCGGATATGTAGCGTTCGTAAATTGTTATTGTTATTTTTTTTTTATTTTAGTTATAATCGGAGGCAACTTTTATTTTTTAGAATTGATTTTCTGTGTTTGAAGTAAGTAATTTTTTATTTATTCTAGGACTTCACTCGTATCCAATTGTATGTAGCTATCCATACATAATATTAAAAATACTTTTATTAGCCCTAATGACAGTACATTTGATTTCATTCAATAATTTTTGGCATTATTGTTCATATTTTCTGTGGAATCAGTTTTATAGTTTAAGAATGAATACTTATAAAATGAAAGTTTTTTAAAAGTATTTTTTTATTTAGTCTGTGGTATAATTTCATTCCTATGACGATCTGTTTAAAGCCCCGGCAAAAATATAAACTTGTTTATAAATGATATTTTCGCCGTGAAATGAACGATTTTATATTTTTTTATTCATAAGTAATTACGCTGTTTGGGATTTTCCCCAGTTTTGTTTTAATTTATTTGTACGTTTCACTAAATTTATTTTGTAATTACATGTGTGTGTTGTAAATTATACATTTATTACACTGTTAAGTTTGTCTGTGTACCGCAAATGATGATATTTTATTGTGCAAAGTTTGTGATAATAAAAGTCAGTTCATTTTTTAATGCTAAATCCATTTTATTTTGTTAATTGTATTTCTAATATAATCTGCTTTAAATATTATTTTTTTTTTAAATTTTTAAAAGAACTTTAATTTTTTTTTCTATTATTTTGTAATGACAGATTGTGTATGAAGAACATTATTGTGTCAAATATTTTGGAATTTAAATCTCATTTCAGAAACTTAAAATTTTTGCTAAAATAATGACATTTTTAGTATATAATTTAAAAAATTTTGCTGAATTGAAATCGATTTGATTTTGATTGATTGATTGTAATTTTACTTTTTTTTATTGTAGGTGTGTTTTTATGTTTAATATTATTCATAACTGTGTGTTTCCACACTCTGACTCAGAGTTTTTGTAATAAATAGATATAATATATTTGCTAAAAAATTTCAGTTTGACTTCTAAATGTATAATTTTAATATATTCTACCCTGGAATGCCTCATGTTAATATAAATTTAACAGAGTGTGTGAGGACAAGCACTGTAAGTAAACCTTAATTTCCCATGCCATATAAATAAAAAACAGGAATCATTTGAGTTACATGTTTAATTTACAGATTTAAAGCATGGTGAAGTAGTGACTTTTGGCAAACATGTCACTTTTATCTAACATGTCTCTGTACTTTATATATAATCATATATAATCTTTCTTGGTTTATCCAAAATAATTATTTTATGTTTAAAAAAAATTATGACTTACAAATAAAATTCAAATATTTTACATAAATTACTATGATGTATAAGAACAGCCATCTGAAGGATGGTTGTATATTACTAAATGCTTCCTGAATGCTGTATTGAAAATAAGCTTTATTCAGCTTATATAGTATGAAATGAAAATTTCATTCAATTGCAAAACAGAATGTTATTAGACAGAAATGAAAATTTCATTCTGTCTAATAACATTCTGTTTTGCAGGTTTGAAATTATAATGCTTAAAATAGTTGAAAAAATTAGTAATATTTTTAGTTTTCTAAAAACCAGTTCTAAAAAGATACAAATCATAAATAAAGTGCTTAGTGGTCATCTTATTGCCTCTGATTCATTGCAAAAAATACCACTTTTAAAATAGTTGAAAAAATTAGTAATGTTTTTAGTTTTCTAAAAACCAGTTCTAAAAAGATACAAATCATAAATAAAGTGCTTAGTGGTCATCTTATTGCCTCTGATTCATTGCAAAAAATACCACTTTTAACTCTAGTTCTTGGGAGTGTTTGGTAACCTTGGAAGGTATTCTAAATACTTCTACAAAGATGAGATTTTTATTTCTTTTTTTATTAGTGTTCTCTTTCTCTTTTCAAAACGAATTCTGGGAAAGGGTGGGGATGATTTCATTTCAGTTCCAGCTTTGATTCCAAGACTGATGTCCAAACGTGAATAGTAAAGTGCTCATCGGAATCAGTAGGTACAAATCACTTGTCATTTTATTTGTCAGGGTTCACATGGAGATAGAGATAAGCTGTGGAGAATAGCAATCTGTTGGATGTCATTTTGAATGTGATTGCCAAACAATATCTAGAAATAAAAATTGAATAAATAAGTAATAAAGAGAGAAAGGGGGGAAAACTATTTTATTGGCCCAAAACACCAAAAAATGATTTACAGTGTATTGGTAGTTACTGGATGACTATCAAGTGCCCTTAATTTTATATAGCTGCTATTGAGTACCAGTCAAGCAGAAATACTAACTTCCACTACAGATTTTTAAGCTGAAAAGTTAACTATTTAATAACTATGAAAGTAAGTAGCAATCTACATGTAAGTGATAATGCAAAATGTGTTTAAAATACCAGTCAGATCTTTTTATAAAGTGTTTACATTTAGTGAATATATGAAAGTTGTGTAATTTTGCAAAACTTTTCTTTCTTTCATAGTAGTAATGAATCGTAGCCAGTCATCACACTGTGATCTTGTTTCAAAATATGGGTTATATCACAATGTTTCTGATGCTAGCTTACCTCCAAAACTGGAAGATATAAAAAGACAACTAAAAGAAGAAATCCGCAAGGAATTAAAAATAAAAGAAGGTGCTGAAAATCTTAGAAAAGCTACAACAGATAAAAAGTCTCTGTCCAATGTTAACTCAATCGTCAAAAAGGCTAACAGTAAATTGCATGAGCTTCAGCAAGAATTGCAGGATCTTAATGCTTATATGCTGGTCATTCAAGGACAAAGTTCTGATTTAAATTTTACTGGTGAGTAATTGAGTTTAAAGTTAGTTTTTCTGTATAGTGTTATCTTATTTATAATATTGTGCGATATCAACTTGTAAAATGCATCATTCTTTACTGCTTGTTTTCATCAATATGATGGATTGTGATATTGTTTATTTCTTATGGTTTTCAATACTACTGGATTGATGTATTGTGGAAACTGATGCTTCCATGTTAAAGTGGCAACCATACTTAGTTGGCAAACTCACAGACTTAATCATTCAGTGTGTAATGTTGGTATCTTCTTAACCAGTTCCCTGTTCTGATAAACGTAAACATTTCGTGCCATTTTTCTCCTCCAAAGATAAACTTTTTGTGTCTAAAACTTGCCTAAGAGTATTTCTTTCCTCCTTATTCAATGTCTTTCCCAAATGGTTCACTAAAACTGTCTGGGTACCAGTCTAGCAAAATGTCTCCAGGGATAACACTGCGTTAAGATAAGATGACCAGAGATTTTAACATTGGTTGACTTGGGGGTGGGGAGGGGTCTTGATTAAAAATTTGGTCTCTATTGAGCAACGAAAATTTTCATAGAATGCAAAAATAGCATTGTAATATATTTTTTAAAATTTCAACATAAGAACAATTTACAAATATAATACATTATAAAATATAAAATTTATACATAAATGCATAATAAAAACTAATACATACATACATAATAAAAGTTAATACATACGTACATAATAAAAAATTATGTATAGTATTATTTTATTCTTTGGCATATTTCTTATTTGGTTGAATTTTTTTTTATTAAATTGCTGTTGTTCTTTGAAAGGTCATAAAATTTTTCACAAGAATTTTTTATATTTCATGGATAAAATGGCTTTTAAAGTGTCAACACTTACGTAATTGTGTTTTTTCTTATGTCCACACTTTATTTACTGTAGAAAAACGCAAACGCGTTCAGTCGCAGCATTAATTCCTGGTAAGGGCAGCACTATTTCCACAATTTTTACTGCATTATTATATGGAACATGGTTTGTTTCAAAATGATAAAATATTTCTAACCATTTGTTATCTATTGTGATTTTTGCTGATGCCCAAGATTTAACCCTTTCCTTATCAATATATTTTTCTAATAATGATACCTCATTAAAAAGATCATTTTCAGAAATATTACTACATAGGAAATTTTGAGTAATATGATCGAATGATTTTTGCACATCATTCCAATTAAGTTCTTGTTTTAATGTAACCCACTGAAAATGTTCAATATCATTGTAATGAGAACTACTCTCATATACGCTCTTGCTTTACGACAAATTTCTCGAAAAATATCTTCGGCGCGAAAATCTATGTTGGCCGTATTACTACCTAAATTTTTTGTCTACATTTCAAACTTTAAGCCTAAAATGTCTGCAAAAACCACGTTTTGAACACAATTTAAGCTAAAAATCCGAAACAAAAACAAAAAATTTAGATAGCAAAAACGTAAAGTTTCTAACCAAAAATATTTGACAAGAATCCATGTACAAAGCGATATGTTTTAACTTAAAGAAACATCACAGAATTGCACAATCTATGCAGTGAAGAAATTTACGAACTGCGCACACCTAGCTTAAATAAATTAACATAACAATAGATTTCAAAGAATACCATGTACACAGCTTTCTCTTAAAAAAATCTACAAATCACACAATCTAGGCAGCAAAGGAATCTATGACCTACGCACACCTCGCTTTAATAAATTAGCATAACAACAATAAATTTCAAGAATACCATGTACACAGCGTTCTGTTTAAACTTTAAAAAACATCTACGAATTGCACAATCTCGGCATTGCACACTAATCAACAAAATAAACAAATAAATTTCATTCAATCAATTCAAAAAACAACAATAACAACAAATTCGTACTAAAAAAACAATGAACATAACATTCCACAAAATAAGAACAAGAATAAAACAAAATGCACTTACCATGAATGAATGCTTCTTCGAACAGCAGAAATACCAATTTCAAATATTACCAAAACAATTTCACCACAAATTTCTTAAAAGCATCTTCTCCCGTTTTAGAACAATGATGGTAAAATATATAAACCATCAAATAAGTCGGCAACATAGATTTAACATGCCACCATGTAATCTCTATTTATATGATAGCCAGACTCACTATCCACAAAATTGATACTATGTTTCACATACAAATGTTCAAAACCTTCTTCTCCTAAATACTTGTAGAATTTCCAGCCACCCCAAAAAATAGTGTACCAGGCCACGTGACTAAAATTTTGCCAACACGTCTTTCATTACATATACGCCCTTGGTTGCATCATAAATCATTTAAAAACCACACACTTCATGAACCAACTAGTAAACTAAAACCTAACCACTACAGTAGTAAAACTTAGGAAACTAAAATCACTGCAGTAGTAAAATCCAAGTTTTCCACGTAAAAAGGTTTGCCATAGAAACCAACATCGCCCCCAAAACCACGGCAGAACATGCAATTGCGCCAGAAACCAGCGCGCAACGCATATCGCTGCATTTGGTGACCTGAGGGTGCATATAAGAGTAGAGCCTTGTAATGTACACATCCACTCTTCTCAATAATCTATGCAGTTGCTATAGGACTTTTTAACATGATTCATGATATCTGCAAAATTTATTACACCTTCTTCTTCTAGCTAGCATATACTGTTATGGATAGTTAAAGAAAAAAAAATTATTGGAACTACTTTGATATACCCCCCAAATCGGAAATTTGGCGACTTTTTTCCCTCGCCAAGCAAAATACCTGTTTCGGTCGGCTAAAATCCGTTGGTCGGCAATAGTAAAAAGAATTATTTATACAGAAATTTTGAATTCCTCCCAATATACCCCAGCAGCAATTTCAATAAATTTATTGAAACAATCAACATTAGCCGCTAAACACGATTTACGAAACATGTACATCGCAAGGTAAAATTTATAATCTGCCTTGCGATTGTACGTAGACAAAGAAGCTTTAACATGCTTCCACGTACTTTCAATTGTATTTGTATGACACCCGGAATCGGGGTCTACAAATGTTAAAGAATGATTTACCTTTAAACGCTCAAAACCCTCATCCGTCAAACAATCATAACTTTTCCAACAATAAGAATAAACAGACGTACCTGGCTTAATCCATTCCTTAATTACCGACAACAACGTCTCCTGAGACCTATCATCATGCACAGCAACTAAAAAAAACCTTACCTGATCCCCTTTCAACACCACCAAAAACCCACTGACCTTCAACACTATGACTCCTATTATACTTCCTTTTGCCAAACTTCGACTCATCTATTTCCACAACAACATCATCACCACCTACCTTCTCAGAATTCTCCTCAATATAATTCAAAATTGTCTCGTTAATGAATTGCCTCCAATCTGCTAAAGTAGTACTAGAGAAACAATACTCCTCTGCAATCCTACCTGTCTTAGTGCCTCTCAAAATCTCATACGTGATCAACAAAACCTCAAACAACTTAAGCTTAGACCTCGAAAACCAAGAATTATGCCTTATCAACATTTCAGTGCAGAGTCGTAGCTAGGGTTTTCAGCGCCCAGGGACAACTGAAGATTTCGTGCCCCCTACTGCTTGCCAAGGATGGAAAACATTTAATTCTAAAATCGTAACATATGCCCCTTATCCAGGGACAGATGCCCCCCTCTAGCTACGCCCCTGTTTCAGTGTTGCACTGATTACCACCTACCATTTTGCGACAAACATACACAAATCCATCCGAATAAGACTTCTTCAACTTCTGTTTCATACCAGACCCACATTTCTTACACACTGCAGCCTTCAACAATCCAACCTCCATCAAAAAATTCATTAACATCTGCATATCCTGAGCCAAATGATGCAAAAATAAACAATTAACAATACCTGGCCTTCCAACTGTCGGCCTACCCGACGAAAATGAAGCACAACTATCAATTTTCCTACTCAAAATTCCCTGAAACTTTTCAACAACACTATATACAGTAGGCATATTGAAAGCTAAAAGATAAAAATAATTAATAGAAAAAAAATATAATTGGAAAATACAACTAGATTTGCAGCAAAATACAGCAAGTCAGAAATCCGCTTGATCACTTCACAAAGAAATGGCGGTAAAACATATATGAAATCCAAAAATTGTTGCCACAAAACTTGAAAAAAAAAAAAAAACTAAAAAAATGGTACAAAATAAAAGAAAATACTAAATTTGGCAACAGCAAAAACCTAAATTGGCAACACCAAAATAAGAAACAGCAACCCTAAAACGTCCGTAGGTGAGTGCCAGATTTGGTGCGTAATTTTGGCAGGGTAACCGCTCTTGACACTGGAATTTTCTAACCGCTCTTGACACTGGAATTTTAAATTATTAACTTCATTTGCTACTTCAATTACCGAAATTTTATCACCTTCAATAAGTTTTGCAGCATTTTGAAAAAGAACTGCTTGATTGTGTACAAACTCTAGCCAAATTATTGAAGATTCTCTTAAAAAAAAAAACTCTACTAAAATTATAGGACGTTTATCCTGTGACAGAAAGTAGGATTTCAAAGGATCATAATTTTTCAAAATTCTTTCGAAAGCTGGCAAAAGAGCTAACCAGCGCGTTTTATTGTATCAAAGTATTTTCTGATATTCGACTTCCACCATTTCACAAAATTTTTTATGCTTTTCAACATGCATAGTGTATATATAGAAGTAAGAATATATTTTAATAACAATATTTTCCACATCTACGGGCAACAAGTCAGCAGCTGTTTGAATGGCATTATGTATTATGTGTGCTGTACGACCAACACCAATAATGCTTTGATTAAGGTTTTTGTTTAACTCATAGAAAATATTATTTGTACCTCTTCTTGCTTTTCCTCCAAAATTTGTGTTCATGTTATCTGCTCAATATGCAATCACTTTATATTATAGATTGTTTTTTTCCAAAATATTAATAATGGAACTGAAAATTATTTCGGAAGTTTCGCCGTGCGAAGAAACAAAATCTAAAATT